ATTTGTGTCAGTATATCCAAGAATATGCTTTTATTATGCTTTTTAATTTATATTGACATAAATATTTAGAATTTCCAACAACTAAATTCAATACTATTAAAACTGAAGGGCCTTTTTTGAGGAACCCTTGAAGTTTTCAAGTATTTACCATCTTTTGCCATTGAATTATTTTTAAGCTATGTTTTTATTTAAATGCTTTTTCGTTTTTGGTAATTCATAAAATTAAACCATCTCGTAATTAATTGAGCTATTTTTACTTCTTTTGATATTTTATCATATGTATTCATAATTTAAATATATCTTTATTTTCATGGTTATATGAATTAAAATATTTATATAAAAGATTTTAAGTGTCTTTCTCTTTTGAAAGTATTTACAGCTATGTCATTTGATAATGATATTTAGCATTATTTTTTAATTAGAAATATGAAATATTTATATATAAATATTATAGAAGGTTATTTTGTATTTTATAAATTAAAATGAGTTAGTATTCATTTCAATTAAATTTAATATTATATACGAGTTTTATTACTAAAATAATATTAAACCAATAAATATTTATATTTTAAATAAAAGATATTAAAAGATATTGTTAAAATGTGATCTTAGGAAAATATTTAGGAATATCTTTTCGATGTCTTATTTTGAAAATATTTAAATATTGTGTTAAGATTATGTGTTTATTTAATAATAAATAAGTTTGTTGTATTCGAAATTATAAAAATTAAATAAATGAAATGGTCCAACTTAGATTACTTGTGAGTACATAAATAGTTATTTTGTATTAATAGTATTGATTTACATTTTTTTTATGAATTTGTGTATCGTTAAGTTGTAATGGTCGAGATATATGAAAATAATTTATACCAATGTTTTATTTCTCGACATGAAATATTAATGTTACTATATGTTAGTAAAAATAATTAAACTAAACAGATTGTTCCTTAAATTTAAGGGGGGGGAAACTAATTGCTTAAATTTATGCTTATTTATAACTTGAAAGACACAGATATGTAAATGAGTTTTAATTCTTAAGGTTAATTTTAAATTTTACTTCTATTTTAATAGTTTAGATTGTTAATGATACATATATTAATATGAATATGATTTGTAAAAGATTATGTATTCGTGACAGACATATTCAAATAACTAG